TTCAATCTACTTCACCCGTACTTCACTCATACTTCACTCTACTTCACTTATAATTCTTTGAATTTCTGCTGAATATGTATATAGTTTTTATTAGTGATAGTTTTAGCAAGTAAAGGATTTCAAGAAGCCATTTGTAATAATCTGTGCATTAGTAAACCATCTTTTAAAGTTAAGAAAAAATGTAGTCTTTTTATCGGAGTCTCATTCTTTGCATCTTCATTCAAATAATTATCTGCTACAATAACGTTTTCTAACAACCGCTACGCAATGAGAATATTTAACTGTGATTTTTTATAAAGAAAATGTGAGGAACTTTGCTTTTAAATCACTACTTTTCATAGACAGGTTAGTTCGTGCGATAAAACTAATCAATACATTATATAAGATTCGTGAAAGTATGTGTATGCAGAGAATCAGTGGCCTACATCTAGTATCAAAAGTGGATTCATTGTATACGCATATTCTACTCTAAAAATCGAAAAGATAAGTTCACCATTTATTTATTTGAATAAATTGCTAATACAAAAGGTTTACATAATTTTACTTTTCATATATGATTAGATAACATATATAATTGATAACACATATAATGTAAATATAAAAAAATTAATCTATATAAATAAATAAAAAGTATTATGAAGGTTTTTTCAATTGCACACGTTGAAGACGATCACAAGATAGTCTACATTGTCTGTCTTGAAAGTACCATGTTGCAGTCGCTTTGTGGAGATACATTTTTTTATTACGAATTATAACTGGAAAATATTTATGTGCATTTGTTCTAGAAACCGATTTTAATAATCGAAGCCCTGAAAGAAAAATAGAAATTAATAGTTTAAAAAAAAATTTGTTCCTAATATGAATTAAAATACTGGTGTTGTATTCTATTCTGAACTAAAACTAATACGTGCACTACTTTCTCTATCGCGCCAATAGTTTTATTATAATAATTAATGATTTAAAAGCTTTTCATTATTCAATAAAGACATCTCAACAATAATTTAAGATATATTTGTTATTACTATTTCAATGTCACGAAGTATCTTCTCAAAAGTCATGCTTGGTGCTATCAACAAATTATAGAAATGATTGATTTAAGAAACTTTATATATTTAAGAAGTAAGAAGTCAGAGCTAGAACGCAAGTATTTATACTTATTTTTTATATATATGCTATAATATCTTATTCGGTAATGAAAATACGTCGATTTCGTTAAGCTTAGACTGATTTGCATTATCCAGCAGTAATCATCTTAAAATATAGGTCGTTTCAATGCTGTAACTATAAATTTATTCATATTTCTTATTCTGAAAATAAACGTGAGTTAAGTTCTGTTTTTTTATCATGCTTATGTCTTGCATAAAATTATATTGTATAGTTCTAGCTAGAATCGTACATATAAATTAAGATCAGCAAGATTGTGTAGCCGTTTTGAAGCATGTATTTTAAAAATGAGAATTGTAAAAATGTAATATCAATAAAACAATTACTGATAAAAAAGCGAAGAAGAAACATATAAGTACATAGAAACTAACAGTTAGTTTTAAAATCATCTCTTAGATGAAGATATGGAATTGTTATATAAACAGTACTATTTAATATCATTTACTCATTCCAGTATAGAACGTCTTTTGCGTTCACTATATTTATTCTCACTGCTATAATTACAAATACATATCATATGAGGATAATAAATAAAACACGTTGTAAAATGTCAGCGCATTATAATAATCAGATATACTAATCTTATTTCGTAAATATATATTGTATTTATCTCTCATGTACAAGTACTAAGTGCTCTCCTTCAAGTATACGTATAGAACTTGTACTTGCGGTACTTGTACTTATCCTAGCTCTATTAGAAAATATATATTAAATAGTGGTAAGATAATTATATACAGAGTATTCCAGTAAGTGCATAAGTAGCAAGAAATAATTCGAATATTTAAATGGATAACATGAATTCTCAAATCTTTTGAACATATATGCATGCTTTTATATGAACTAGTATCCCTTAAAAAATGCGAGTGAATTACGAATATAAAATGCAACATATATAATACAAGCGCGATTGAGAATTCCTTCAAATAATCATTTCACAAGAAATCACCTGAAAAAGATGTTGCTTGAATATTTTTAAAATCAACTGTTGATGCTATATCATCTTCGAATGAACTACAATCAGAAATATTGGTACTTGTTTCTTCAGTACTATCTTCATCAACACTATCTTCAGCAGCACTCTCTTCATCAACATTATCCTCATCAACATTATCTTCATCAGCACCATCTTCATCAATCCTATCTTCATCAGCACCATCTTCATCACCTCTATCTTCATCAACAACATCTTCAGTAACACCATCTTCATCAACATCTTCTTCTTCTTCTTCGATATCATCTTCTTCATATTCACAGTTCACATCAGCATCATCTTCATCATCATCATTTTTGTCCGTAGTATCTTGATCATCACATTCATCAATTATGAGAATTTCTTCTTCGGTTAAACTGTTCCAATTAAGTAATTTCTTTGCCATTTGCGAAGATTCTTCAATATTGAATAGATTCTTTTTAACTAAATGAATATTCATTCCAACTGATGTTGCCATTTGTTGTGCTAAGTTGTACGCATCAAATATAACTTCTTCTATATTTGCTAAATTATAATCAATTTCATCATTGTTGTTATTGTGTTCTGGTAAGATAACGTGCCTTTTTATTTTATGATGGATTGGAAATATTATTTTCTGATCTGTATTGTTTAATTCGAATTGTTTTAATTCTGTTAATGCATTTAATTTATCAATTCTATTCAAAAATTGTTTGATAGTAAAATTTATTCTAGTAGAATATGTGCCTGATAATGAACGAGTATCTCGAAATATATTTTCGCACGCTTGCGAAGAAAATAAGTGAATTGATTTTGAAGCTGATTGAGGAAGGATTTTTTCTTCGATCAATAAATATAAATATATAAGATAATGTGCATTCATTTCTATAGATATTAATGCATTAGAAGTAATAAAATTGTTTTTTTTTTCTTTTGTTTTAGATTTTCTAATTGATGATTTTGAATTTTTTTTTGTTACATATAACCATATACGCCATAAGCGTACGTAAAATAAAATAATCCAAGCATAATAAATACGATCTAATAAAGAAATATTCGGTAACGTATAAGCTGTTATCATTAGATTTAACATTAATAAATAATTATACGTAGCTTTATATTTATCATATAAAAATAGAAGATTTAATACTTTATCATCGGATATTCGTTGACATGAAGAAAAATTTTGTTTATCATGAACGTTCAAATCAGAATTCGATAAGTTATGATCGATTTTATTAGTTGTTTTAATCAGTTGTTGTAAATGTTGAATGGAACCTTCATATAAACCCATCTTCAATTGAGTCTTTTTCGATAATAACCTGTTTCGTGTTTTAGTGCAGAGGTGAATACCGTCTTGCATGTACAAAAGTAGTTGCGTTGGATTTAAAAAAAACCATGATGACCAATTATTAGGAATATTTATTGTAAAAGATAATTTATCATTAGATACATTTAAAGTTTGAGTTTTAACGAAAAAATTAGAAGACAAACGCATAGCTCGAAGATATTTTGGGTCTCCATCTGTGGAGAACCCAACAACACGAATGTTTCTACTATAAAACTGTTGGTACATCATTAACCATCGTTTTAAAATATCCATTGAAGTAAGTTTGCTGTCCGTTCCGTATGCTGCAAGAACTGAAGCTGATGGTATTACATTATAATATTTACTACAAATAGGCTGCATTAGATGAACGTTTACTAAGTTTGCACGTGATGTGGTTTCAAATAAAAGTTTAAGTTCATCATAAGTTTTACAACTGAAATAATTTTCAAGTGGTATACCATCTATAATTGGAGTTACAAATCCATTGAAAGTATTTGAATATGAATCATATTCGATACGTGGTATTATTGCTGAGCAATCTTCAGATAAAAAAATATAATTGCATTGAATAGATTCAAGATATATTTTTGATTCTTCGTATCTAAATTTAGCTTCTAAATATGGATTACGATTATAAATTTTTTTTATAGTTTGTATTGATGGTAATAAAAACTTCAAATTGATACGAATATATTCGTAAGCATATATTCCTGCAACTATGAAAAGACATGTAGCAAAGCGTAATACTGAATCACAGTATCGATAATTATTAGGCGAACGATGGCTATTTAAATCGATTGTCTTCAATAATGAACATAAAATATCTGTATTATTAATTTTGTCAAACGAAATCTTAATTATTTAAATTTCAGCGCAAGATAGATATATAGAAAACAGATCTATACTCACGGTTGGCATAATATTTCTTCTGTTATTCTTTACTGTTGAAAAAGGTTCTGTTTCATTATCGTTTTCAATTAATTTTCGTTTTTTTTGTTGATGAACTTGATTCAAATTTGCATTCTATAATACAGGCAATACAGTAAAATCAAAATATATTTTTTTTTAATCTACCTGTTCTTTGACAGATTTTGAATGTTGAAGAGTAGAAGATGAATTTGTTATTTGTGTTGTTTCATTATTCAAGAGTTGCTGAAATGAAATTTTAATTTAAATATACGTATTGTGTTGTGTAGTAAAAAGAAAAATACTTATAGCACAACAATTTTAACTTATAATATTGTAAAACTTATACATGCGAATGATTTTTTATAATGCTCTAATCATACTCGTTGAGGTCAAGCTTTTTATTTTAATGTTATTATAAATAAATAATTTATTAAAAGAAAAATTATGAAAACATAGTTCTCTATTAAAATAATACTTTCAGTTCAACACGAAACATTGAATAGCAAAGTTAGGTTATTATTTTCTTTATTTAATATGGAAAAAAAATACAATTTCATATCTTTTTTTAAAGAAAAATATGTTAAAAAAAGAATTCAATTCACATCTGAAAAGAAAGTCAAACATACTTTTTTCGATTTTGATGGAGGTATAATTGTAATAGAACTTTGCGTTTCACCTGGTTTAGGTAAATTTCGAGATACTGGTTGCCCATTTTGTCTATTTTTTAAGAAAAAACATAGTAGTTTTATTTCATAACATAATTGAAAAAGCCTACTGAATTTTTGTTGTTTTAAGTGATAAAGTACTACGTTTATTAGTATTTGATTCCATGTGTAATTGATTTTGGCTGTAGCTAATTATTGTTAAAAAAAGAAATGATTTAAAATATGGTCAAAAACGTTCGAAAACTTACGATTGTTTTACTGTTGTTGATGTCATTCCATCGGTAGCATCGCTATCGATATTTGTATATTCACGTAGAGCACTTTGAGTAGTTGATGGACTACTTTCGTTTCTTGAAACTGGATTATCTGTATCAATTTGATCTGAATCTTGTATATCATCAGTTTGTTGATTATTATTATTTATAAGAATTGGTACTTTATTTTTGATGACCATTAAATGTTTCTGTAGATTTGATAATTGAAATCGATCATTTCTAAGGTATAATTTGATTCGATCACCACATACACAATGTATGTTACAAATTGGTTCAGAACGATCATTTATATGTTCGATCATAACTTTAAAGTCTTTTGCCGTAATATTCGTATTAGTAAAACCATGTATATTGTTTTTAATACTTGTTAATAATTTTGAAATTGATTCGTTGATAAACGTACTATATTTTTTAAGATTGATTTCAGTATCACTTGTGTTACTATTAGATGAGGATGATGTTGAACGAGATTTATTAAGTCGATTTAATCGTGTTTGAGACATCAGTAGAAGCTTTTTCTTATTAACAACATCTTGAGCTAATTTTAATAAACTAATCAATTTGTTTTTAGTTCCAATTTTTAATGATGTTATCTCTTGAATTATATGACATACTTCCTTTTTTAAATTAATTAACTCTTCAGAAGTATTTGTATCATTAGGTTTTTCAAATATATCGAGTATTTCATGTTTATCAGTTTCACCTAATACGACATAATTATCAATATCGTGATAACGTAATATTTTTTCAATAAATTTTCCATAAACTTTTTCAATATGTTGATAAAAACTTTCACCAAAAAGAGTAAGAAATTGTTGAAATTCATTGTCGTCCATGATTCAATTTAATAAAATTCAATATGGTAAAAAAATAACAAAAGGATACAGATGAATATGATAAAAAAAATGGATTAGCGACAAATTTTGTTAATTTTTTTGTTGTTTTAATGTGATTAACTGCCAAAAAAAACGGTTTATCGGATGTGTAAATTATTTGATAGCTATATAGGCAATCAAATACAAGTAGATAATTAATATAGCTAGATGTCATCCTATTATGTGAGTGATGAATATAAAGAATGGACTACAACAGTTTAATCACAATGTAATATTTAAACTTTCTCTGCTTTATTAAAAAAAAGGTAGTTTAAATAATTAGATCGAGTAAAAGAATGAATAGTGACTTTTGACAGGTATTATAGATCTCATAGATTTTACTTATATTTTGAACAATGATTTGATCATTCGTAAATACTGAATTAGTTGCACAAGCTATTTAAACATTCTTTGGAAATCTTTTGACATGCTCGTCTACATATAGCAGATATGTGCGCAGCTAGATTAGTTTAAAATTTTTCGTTGTCTTATTTTCATATAAAATATAGTGTAATGTCTTGAATTAGTAGTTTGTTCAAACGTTTAAACCTTCTTTTTCTTTCTAAAAAAGTATGATAACCTTAGTTTTTAGATTTATGACGTAAAAAAAATATATAATATTAAACATTGATTAATATTTGTGTTATATAGCCGGTTCAATATGTATTCTTTCTAACCATTCATATCAGATTGATTAAATGGTTCACGCTACCAGTTCAATTTATCTATATAATATTTTGATTCCAAAGAGTTTTTGTCGATTGATCTTACAGATGAAATATAACAGGAAAAAGATTTTGCACTCGAGTGAGTCTATAACATAGCTATTATTTGCAACGAAACAATGAAATATTCTCATTATCTCTCGATAGTTGGCAAGTTGTTTTAGTAGATTTGAGTAGCACATTGAAAAGTAAAATGAATTTTAGTTTATCCGAAGATTTTTCTGCTGAAATTCGGATTGAATCTACCATCTTATTTTTAAAGAACAGCAAGCTTTACCAAAACCATAATATCAGTAATAAAGACGAGTTTTACTTCAAACTACTTCGCTGGTACTTCACTTGTACTTCACTGGTACTTCAATCTACTTCAGTGCTACTTCAACCTACTTCAGTGGTACTTCAATCTACTTCAGTGCTACTTCAATCTACTTCAGTGCTACTT